TTATGAAGGGGCATGAGGAAACCTGGGGGTTATGCATATGTTCACCACCTTGATTGTAGTGATGGTTTCACAGATGCATGCATGTCAAAATTTAATCAAACTGTATACTTTAAACAAATGCAATTTATTGCATGTCAATTAAAAGACTTCAAAAAAATCAATGTGTACATCTAATACAGCTCTTTCAATAAAGTAAAAATTATATATTTAAGAAGGTATGTGCCATATTTTAATTTTTTCTTAATAGTACATAAAATATTGGTGTGTTAGAGTTGGTAAGATTCTATTTGTATTTCTATTCCGAGCGTCTACTACTATGCCCCAACTCCTCATCTTTCCCTGAAACAGACTTGCTCTCCTGATTTTCTAGATTATACCATTAATCTGCCAGTCACTTCCAAAATTCAGATTTTTCTCTGTCTTACTAAGTCCAGTTGGTTAGCACTTCTTGTGGAGTCTTATTGCACAGTACTTTTCATATCATCCCTTCTCATCACTCTTGTTTTAGGCCTTTGTTCCTTTGGGCCTGGACTACTCTAATTGCATCTTGAAAGGTTTCTGTTTTTCCCTCTAAGTCACCCAGAGCACCATGATTAGATCATCTTTCTTAATGCAACTAACAAACTACTTGCCTGGTGAAGGACTTATAATGGCTCCCTTTTGTCTACAGAATGAAATTCAGACAGTTTAGCATCTAAAGCTCCCATAATTTGGCTTTGATCTACACTTCCTGTTTTTTGCCTTATTTACTTTCTTAGGGCATCCCCCTGCCCCACAATCCAGTTAAAATGGTTTATTCCCTCTATGGGGTAGGCAGAAGAATAGCCCCCTAAGGATGTCCATATGGCTAATCCCCAGATCCTGGGACTATGTTACTTTACATGGCAAAGAAACCAAGTGTGATTAAATCAAATATTTTAAATTAGAAAGATTATCCTGGATTTTCTGGGTGGGCCTAGTTAATCACAAAGGCTCTTAAAAGAGGAAGGAGGAAAGCAGAAGATTCAGAGAACAAGATGTGACCACAGAAGCAGAGTGATGCAATTGTTGGCTTTGAAGATAGAGGTAGAGGCCGAGAGCCAAGAAATGTGTGCAGGCTCTAAAAGCAGGAAAAGGTAAGGAAGTGGATTCTCCTCTATAGCCTTTAGAAAGGAATGCATTGATTTTAGCCCAATGAAACCCGTTTCAGACTTCTAACCTCCAAAATTATAAGATAATAAATTTGTGTTGTTTTAAGCCACCCAACTCTGACAGTAGCTATAGGTAACTAATACATCCTCTTATTTATACACTTCCATTTTCTGGATATCTTGTTTGCCTCTCCACATCCACTCCCCACCTTGCTCTGTGCCCAGGGAAGATGATGTGTTTACACTGTATCAATGGGCTCCCTTGCTCTCTGGCTTCTGTTTGGCCAACAAGAGGCACTAGCAGGAAACTGGAGGGCAGGGGGAAAGGAGTAGGAGGGTAGTCCAGAAAGCCCCAATTCCAGTAAAGCCCCAATTCCAGTCAGGCAGCTTTTTTTCTATACAGCTGCCCTCCCCTTGCTGACTTCAGGCCTTGGGATGGTGAAGGGCCCCTGTGTGGCTAGGGCCAGATTTCTGCCTTGTTGAATTCCCTAAATCCTCTCCACATATTTGTAAATGGCCTCTTTATTAAAATTCCCTCCAATTACTCAGTTTGAGTGTGTCCTCTGTTTCTTGTTGAGACCTTGGCTGATACAGTAATATTACTTGGAATGCCCTTCTTTATTCTCATGGCTTATCTACCCATGCTCTGCCTTTCAGACCTGGCTAAAAGTCTGGCTCTGCAAGACCACAGACTGTCTGCACTGACTGAGACCTTAAAGCTCACCCAGTCTAGCAACATAAGAGGGTTTTTCTTCTAATTCTCTGCTCACTCCTTCTTGGTCTCTTGGTAATTACTCTTCCTCTACCTTAAATACCAGCAGGGACCTGTCTTAGAAGTTCTTTTCTCGCACTACACATTCTCCCTGGGGGAACTCATCGCCTCCAAAGTTTTAATATCCATCCCAAAGATCCCCAAATCCATCTTAGATCTAGACTGTCCCCGAAGGCTAGATCCATGTATTTCCAATTGCTAAACTGACTTCTCTACTTGGCTGCCTCAGGCACCTCAAATGTCACAAGTACTCTTATCATCTCTCCTTCCAAATAGCTTCTCTTTCTCTAGAATTTCTAATTTCAGGAAGTTGGTCAAGAAACCAGGGAGCCATTGTTGACAACGTCTCTTTCCTAACTCCTCTCCCCCCATCAGCAAATCCTGTCCTTACCTAAACATGTTAAGAATCCACCTACTTCACTTGATTGCACTGCTTCGTCCCCCTTACCCCCTTCCAAACCCTTCGACATACAAATGGCCAAAGTGATCTTTTAAAACAACTCTGCTCTAGATACTTAAAAATTTCCATTGGCTTCTCATTGCCTTGAGGATAAGGTTCAAATTCAGTCTGGCCTCTGTCATTCTCATTAGTCTCATCCTTCACTGCACTCCCCATGTCCTCCTGGCTTCAGCCTCCCGGACCACTTCCAATTCCTGGATCATGCCTTAT